TCGTCCCACCTTTCCCTTTGAAAAGAACCCAAGACAGCTTACAACATTGAAAGACAGTATTTAAAGCTGAAAAGCAATGAGTGTACAACAGTGGTTTCTGTTATTCAGAGACAATATTCGAGAACCAGGAGTATAAAGGGACAGCTTACAACATTAAAAAGCAATATTAAAGCTCAGAACAGCAAGTATATAATTATTTTTTAAAAGGGGTGGGGGAAGCATACACACACAAATGCCACTCTGAGAAAAGGAAAACACAAGTAGGACTAAAAATACAGTCAAAGCAGTAATACATAACAATCCATTTAGAAATTGTAGCTAGTTACTTTCCTTCTGGCCCCTTTATTTAACAAAATGCATGCCGAGTATCTTGGCCTTTGACTACGGAGAATGTTTCAGCGAGCCATCTCTCCTACGTCTCTCTCTGTGGCCCACATTCCAGAAAGATGATCCAGCAAAACCTTGTTTCAAAGCATATTGAAGGTGCTCCGAAGGGCTAGGAAACGCCTTGAAGCGATCATGGTCCAAAATCCTCCGGTTGATGCAAGACAAACAAGCATGACTTTCGGCCACAATTTACTGCATGTTGTGAAGCCAGAGGAAATGTCATTTGTGGCGTGCCGAGTCGTGGGACCCAGTACACAACGGGGCACTGTCTTTGCTGGCTAGATTATGCCATTCACCTCTAGAAGTCAAACTATGTGTACATTATCGTTGTCCAACCCTGCAGCTGGAAATGCTCCTCACGTTCATTCAGTACCACCAACTCTACTCTGCAAAACAATCATTTCCCCCACCCTCTCCAAAAAAAGGAAGAGGAAGAATGCTAATACCTTCCCCACAAAAGAAAGTTAATTCTTTCAAAGAGAACGTGATTAGGAAATGTTGCTAATTTTTCTAATGCCTACCAGTCGATCACAAGCTGAATGAGAGTCAATAAATGTGCTGGTTCCCAAACTTTTTTGACTCACAGCTCCCTTGACTTATTGGTCACTGGCTGCGGCTCCCCAGGACAGTAGGACTACCGTATCCACGGGATCACTACCTGCTGTTTCACTTATATATGAAAATACAGTAATAATAATAAAAATTTAAAAAAATTAAAAACTCTAGATACCTTTCCAGGGTGCAGTACCAGAATTGGTTTATAGATGGAACCAGAGACTATGCTACAGTATTTACAGGTGGCCTGAGTTCTCTGAGGGAAGCAGCTTCCAGAAAAAACCGTATCCACGGGATCACTACCTGCTGTTTCACTTATATATGAAAATACAGTAATAATAATAAAAATTTAAAAAAATTAAAAACTCTAGATACCTTTCCAGGGTGCAGTACCAGAATTGGTTTATAGATGGAACCAGAGACTATGCTACAGTATTTACAGGTGGCCTGAGTTCTCTGAGGGAAGCAGCTTCCAGAAAAATGGAGACAGGCAAGGCTCCCTTGCAAACAGGAGGACAGGGAACCCAGTCCTTTGGCAAGACTGAGCGAGGGTTCCCGCTCTCCACCATGCATGGACACTGGAGAAAGGGCACGTAAGTGCTGTAGGATACTTTGGATGGGGGAGAGGATGAGAGGACTCCCAGCACCCACCCCGCCCTGGCCCGCCCCGCCCTGCCATGGCACACACTTCAGAAAACACTGCACTAGTGCAATGTACAGTGATGCCTCGCTTAATGAGCGTGCCATATAACGACGAATCCGAATAGTGATCCTTTTTTCGGGATCGCTAATGCGGAGGCATACCGATGCTTGCAATGGGCAAAACTCGCATAGTGACAATCGGTAAGCGTTTCGCTTACCGATCTTCGCTTTGCGATGCCGCGGATCAGCTGTTAGGTGGTTCCAAAATGGCCGCCGGAAGCCCCGAAATGGCCGCGCTCAGTGTTTTTGCGCCCTCCCCTCACCGAGGGCACGAAAATGGCTGCCACTATGGAGGAAACTTTGCTGAACAGTAAGTTTAGAGCCCATTGGAACACATTAAACAACGTTTAATGCGTTCCAATGGTTTTTTACGTTCCGTTAGCAATGTTTTTACATAGTGAGGGTTAATCCGGAACGGATTAACCTCGCTATGCGAGGCACCACTGTAGTTGCAAAAAAGGCCAATGCTGTTTTAAGGTTGCATTAACAGAAATATAGTCTCCAAACCAGGTGAAGAACCAGCTTTCCTGATAAGACCTCATCCTGAGTACTGTGTCGAATATTTTAAGACACTGCATTTTAGGTAGGTAAGTAGGTAGGTAGGTAGGTAAAGAGGGAGGGGGGATGGATGGACGGACTCAGTTTGTGGGCTCTTTTCCAGTTGAAGAACTCCATGAAGTTCCCCCCCCCCTGCACTCAGCCAGGATTCACAAGGCTTCTCCTCCAAGGAAAGAAAAAAAAAAGGGAGTTCCAAGCACTGACTGGAAAGGGGCCCGCTTCCCTCCACCTTCAAGACGAGAGAACAACAGCAAAACCGGGAAAGGAATCTTGGTTGTCTCTGATCAGTGACTGGAGATGCTGGTCATTCACTTTAGCATAGACCTAATGAGTGGGGCTTGGAGAAGAAAAACGCCCCCAGACGGGGCAGAACTGTTCTCTCTTTTGTTAGAACAGAAGGGGCTGGGAGAAGGGGTTAAAGCAGCCCATATAAGAAAGCATCTGCAGTGCACAGTCACAGCCATGATTCTGTTCTACGAAATCTTTGGATTCGTAGTTTGACAAGGCAATCCGAAATCGTTGCTACGGAGCATTGGTGCCTTCTAAACTGCAGCTTAGAATTCTGTCTCTCTATACACACGCTTGACACCCATCTCAAGGGCCTCAATATTTGTCAAGACTTCTGAGGCCACTACCAAATATAAAACATTACAATACAGTAATTATACTGTAACTCATTACCATGTTGTGCCTGCTGTCATCTATTGCCTGGAGTAAATTCACCCACCATTGTACAGTAGCTGTTATAAACTATGGAAATCCCTGGACTACAACTCCCAGAATTCCATAGGACGGGCTCATGTCTATTAAAAAAGTGGCATCAGGCTATATCAAGCCAGTGTTGGAGATGGAACTGGATGTCAGCTGTCTGAGGAAGTGGACTTATCCATGAAAGCTCACACAGAAAAGCTGTGGGGCTGAGTTAGGCCTACTAGCTCTCAAGCTTCCTGTTCCTGCCCCAGTACAAGTTGGGACCTTTCTTTCTGAACAGGAAGCTTCAGCAGAGCTACGCCTAAATAGAGGCCTTTCTCCTAGTCAGACACATTTAGCTGTCCGTTAGGCAGAATCCTTGGAATGGAGAATTATGGGTTTTGCAGTCCACAAACCTCCAAAAGCCTATCCTTAATATATATTTTTCATACTTTATTATAGTATCAGGAAAGGATAACAACTTGTGCATCTTTTATTTAACACTTTAATGTTTCCACATTTGTTCTATTAGCATATCAGGGCAGTGTACAACTGCAGTATCAAAGTACAAACAGATTATGAAAAGGTAAAGGTTTCCCTTGACAATTCTGTATCAAAGTACAAACAGATTATGCAAAAGGTAAAGGTTCCCCTTGACAATTTTTGTCCAGTCGTGTTCGACTCTAGGGGGTGGTGCTCATCCCCGTTTCCAAGCCACAGAGCCAGCGTTTTGTCGGAAGACAATCTTCCGTGGTCACGTGGCCAGTGCGAATTAGACACGGAACGCTGTTACCTTCCCACCGAGGTGGTCCCTATTTATCTACTCGCATTTGCATGCTTTCGAACCGCTAGGTTGGCGGGAGCTGTGACAAAGCGAAGGGCGCTCACTCCGTCACTGGATTCGATCTTACGACTGCTGGTCTTCTGACCCTGCAGCATAGGCTTCTGCGGTTTAGCCCGCAGCGCCACCACGTCCCTAGATTATGCAAAACAGAGATGAAAACAATACATAGGAAATTGTTCATATAAGGACATTTTCCCTATGATGAAAACTGGTTCATTTGTTCATTTAAATCTCTCTATGGTACCATTTCCTAGGTGGCACGCTTAGAATCACAGAATAATGGAGTTGGAAGGGGCCCATAGGGCACAGATTTCAACCCCCAAAGGACAGATTATAAATAAAAAAATAAAATAAAATAAATCCTGTCCTGCATCCAACTCCCAGAGGAAGGACAGATTATAAATAAATAAATAAAATAAAATAAATCCTGTCCTGCATTTTATTATTTATGGAATGCATACCTCTCTTTTATTTCTAAAACAATACTATAGACCGAGAGACATTGTGGTCTACTAGACAGAGTAGTGGACTAGGCCTAAAGAGAACTGGATTCGAATCCCTGTTCAGTCGTGGGAGCTGCAATGAGGGTTTGCTCCTTAAATATCTCACATTCACTGAGAACTCTATTCGATGCAACTTGATGGCATATAACAATACTATAAGTGATGGGTGTGGAGATAAATTGATAATTAAAAAAATCCGATTAACATAGTTTCACTGGTGGACTTCCCAAAGTGAAAGATGGGCTAAACTGTGAATACATCTCATGCTATATTTGAAGGGTTTTTATTTTTCATGTGTGTGTTATTGAATGAGAAGTGAGAATTCCCATATGACTGATTCTCCCCCCACTTCTTAACATTCGTACTATTTTACTCCTATAAGTGTGGTGTAGTGAATAAAGCGATGGACTAAGATTCAGGAGACCTCGGTTCAAATCCCCGCTCAGCCACGGAAATTCACTGGGTTTGTAGAACTGGTAAAACCACACTTTAAATATCTCACTTACTTTACAAGCCCTATTGCCATGTTTTCCTGAAAATAAGAAAGGGTCTTATATTAATTTTTACTCCAAAAAACACATTAGGGCTTATTTTCAGGGGATGCTTTATTTTTTTTCCCCCATGTATCTTCTTCACAATGGTGGAAGGCAGGGTTTCACTTAAATGGGGCTTATTTTTGGGGTAGGGCTTATATTATGAGCATCCTGAAAAATCATACTAGGGCTTAATTTCAGGTTAGGTCTTATTTTCAGGGAAACAGGGTAGGAAGGTCACTATAAGTCAGCTCCTACTTGGTGACACATAACAACAATGAGATTTATTTCAAGAAAAGGATTTTGGTTCCCCCTGAATCACCTTACACGCTAAGCATTGCGCAATTCCTTTGCTGTGTGCATGATCTGATACATGTATTATGTGCCACCAACTCACTTCAGGCTTATGGCAACTCTATAAAAATCTCCAAAAGGTCCTATAATTATCAGCTTGTGCAGATCTTGCAAACTCAAGGCCGTGGCATCCTTTCTTGAGTGGCTCGGTCTCATATTATGTCCTCCTCCCTCCCTACTGCCTTGATATTTTGATATTGAAAGGGGTCTGCATTTTGATTGAAGCCCTTTCCCACCCTTTATACAGTTTCTCTCTTGTGTGATTTTTTTTATGTCTAGTGAGAGCTGATTTAAAACTGAAACTTTTCCCACACTCCAAGCATTTATAGGGCGGCTTCTCCCCTCTGTGGGTTCTCTGGTGATAACTGAGGTTGCTCTTTTGACTGAAGCACTTTCCGCACTCCAAACATTTGTAAGGTTTCTCCCCTGTGTGGATTCTTTCATGAGAAACAAGGTAAGACTTCTTACTGAAGCTGTTTCCACAGCTCAAGCATTTGTACGGTTTCTCCCCCGTGTGAATTTCAGGCATTTGTACGGTTTCTCTCCCGTGTGAATTCTTTGATGGCAGCTCAGACTCGTCTTTTGAATGAACCTCTTTCCGCACTCGGAACATTTATAGGGCTTCTCCCCGGTGTGGATTCTTTGATGAATAGTAAGATTGGTGCGAAGGCTAAACCTCTTCCCGCACTCCAAACACTCGTGGGCTTTCTCCCCGGTGTGAATTGTCTGATGGGAGATAAGTTTCCTTTTTTCGCTAAACGTCTTCCCACACTCCAAGCACGCATAGGGTTTCTCCCCTGTGTGAATCCTTTGATGCTTCGTCAGGTCCGTGTTCTGAACGAAGCTCTTTCCACACTTCAGGCATTCAAACGGCTTCTCTCCTGTATGAATTCTTCGGTGCCTCGTGAGGTCGGCGTTCCGGCAGAAACTCTTCCCACATTCCGCGCATTTATATGGGTTTTCCCCCTTATGAAGGATCTGATGGCAGCTGAGGCTCGTCTTTTGAATGAAACTTTTCCCACATTCCAAACATTTATAGGGCTTCTCCCCTGTGTGGATTCTTTGATGAGAAATCAGTTTTCTCTTCTCACTAAAGCTCTTCCAACACTCTAAGCACGTGTAGGGCTTCTCCCCTGTGTGAACGGTTAAATGGGCCACAAGGGTGCGTTTCTCACTAAAGCACTTCCCGCACTCCAGGCACGAATAGGGTTTCTCCCCTGTGTGGACCCTTTGATGTTTCGTGAGGTCTGTGTTCTGCCCAAAACACTTCCCGCACTCCAGGCACGAATAGGGTCTCTCCCCTGTGTGGATCCTCCGATGCCTTGTGAGTTCTGCATTGCGATAAAAACTCTTTCCACACTCCAAGCATATATACGCTTTTTCTCCAGGGTCAATTTTTTGGTAGGTGGGCTTTGCCTTCATACTAAACCTCTTTCCATATTCCATGCAGTTACGTGATTTATCTGCTATGTGGAATTTGCAGTGAGATTTAAGTTTTGATCTGGAAATGAAAGGTTTTCTTTGCACTTGGCACCTACTGATCTCCCCTACTGCACCTATTTTTTCCTGTACTCCATCCATTTTTCCCTCTATTGCATCCATTTTTTCCTCTACCGCACCCATTTTTTCCTCTACTGCATTTGTTTCTTCCTCCATTGCATCTGCTTTTTCCTCGACTGCATCTGCTTTTTCCTTGACTGCAATCTCATGGTAGTCGATGCCTTGAGAAGCAGTGATTTGATCTCTTCTTTTGTAAACAGACCCTGTTTTCCTTTTCTGTTGTTTTCTACTTTTACACCTTTCCAGTTGTATCACATGTTGCTCGTTCTTCTCTGGTTCCAACTTGCCACCATCTGTAATGAAGACAACAAGCCCTCTATTTTCCTTTTCTGCTGTTTTCTACTTTTACACCTTTCCAGTGGTACCACATGTTGCTCGTTCTTGTTCTCTGCTTCCAGTTTGCCACCATCTGTAATGAAGACAACAAGCGGGTAGAAAGTCCACATTTGAACCGGTGATCATATCACAGAACCTGAACTAACAGTTTTAATAAAGGGGGGAAACGGAATAAAGATGGGAGAGCATTTTTATCGCCCAACATTCTGGATAAACTACAGTGGTGCCTCGCTTAACAAAACAGAATAAAGATGGGAGAGCATTTTCTTTGCCCAACATTCTGGATAAACTACTTGCTTTTTGGTTCTCTGCCATAATGGCATGAAATGCAGAATGAATGATACTGGGCTTTATTTCATGATTCATTAAAAAAAATCCACTGTGCTGTAAGACGACAGAGTGGTTTTCTGCCAGAATGGCATGAAATGCAGAATGAATGATATTGGGCTTTATTTCATTATTCATTTTTTTAAAAATCCACTGTGCTGTAAGACGACAGAGTGTCAGCCTAGGGCACAGAGTTCAAATCCCTGCTTAGTCACAGAAACCCATTGATGGGTGGCACTGTTAAATCAAATCCTTAAATATCTCATATACCTCAGCAACCAGATGGAAGTAATGTGACAACGCAAAACAGCAGCGATGTGTCAGTAAGTTTAGGATAATGCTCCAGCTTCTTTCAAGGCCCAACTTAAAGTGTTGGTGTTAAATTTTGAAGCCTATGTCTGCCCTCAGTCTTTTTCTATGCAGCCCCCAAATAACAAGGTGGCATACTGGGGTGGAAGGTTAAAACAGGGCAGCGAACAGAGGGGAAGAGAGAATAATATAGTCCCTACAAAACAGGATACACCCTCCACCCACAAGGGAGTCTTGTGATGGAGCAACAGCCAAGCATTGGAAAAATATTCCTGGTTCTTTCTTAGAATAGGCGTGAGCATGGGAGGTCAGATTCTTGCCTCTGATGCTAAAGGGGGTCATGCAGGCCTAGACATGGCCAGAAACTGCCTTTAAAAAAACAGAAAGAGTCCAGGTAAGTACTTCCAGTGTTTGTTTTTATTGTTAAAGTCTGGTGGCTCTTGCCAACCCCTAAGGCCTTGGTTGAAAATGGCCAATTCTGGATCTCTCCAGAAACTCAAGGCTGTCCAACTGGGGGGGAGGAATCACTCTATCCCTGGGGATCACACATATTATTATCGGTCAGAGACAGGAGAAGCCTTACCAAGAGAAACTGTGGTCTTACTGCTCTCCTCCATCATTTCCTCCACAGGTACCTCTGGACAGATCCAGCACTGTCCCCTCTCTCTCTCGTCCTATATGAAAAAAATAATACAGCAAATTCTCCAAAGAATAAAATACCCTGGATTTAAATACGAAAAAATATCATCAGTAAAAGAAGACTATCAAATCCCAAAGGTTAATGAAAGCGAGTTGGCTGGGGCATTATTTTGTGGGATTTAAACTTCTGAAGCTGCAGGAAAAGAGGAAGATCAGATACGAGAGGGATGGGCTCCATAAAAGACACCACGGTCTTGGGTTAGCAATTGCTGATCGGGTATGGCAGGGAGTGGTCGCCCAAGAACATCTGGGGACCCAAGGTTGGGAATCACTGCACTAAGTTAATGAGAGCCATCATCTTCATTGTTGCATGCATGCACCAACCGCTGGATGATGAATCAGTGCAACCGTTTCCTTGAACACATCCTCCACTGGTTTTCTTGGCTTTGCGGGAGAAAGAGGAGAGGGAAATGCTTCTTGCCATGGTAGCAGAAGGTCAGCTTGCAAGGGCTGCCTCCCTATAGAGTGCAATGGGGAGGGGGGGGTCTCCCTTGCACCTCTCAGCTCATCCAACGCCACCCGGGAAGAGAGCAGCTCCTCCCCACTTCCCATATGGTTCTCCCCATTGACAGACTAAGCATCCTCCCCTCGGGGGGGGGTTCATCATCTCATGGCTCATCGCCCTCCCCAGCAGCCCCGGGGCTCCCCCGGTGTACAAAGAAAGCGGCTCACCAGGTTCCAGAAGGCGGGTCCCAATGCGGGGCATATAGAGAGGGAAAGAGAGGTGCACTTCCGGGGAAAGAGAGAGGGGCGGCAGGAAGGGCCCCCTTTGGTAAGGAAGTCCCTCCCTCTCCAAATCCCTTTTCCCTTCTAGGAACCCAACGTATCTTCAATGCGTTTAACTCTTAGAAGGACAAAGTGTTTCTCCTTTCTTGAAAGGAGGGAGAGAAAAAAGTCAACCCTTCATTGCACAAAGTTTTAAAATAAGATTACTGATCAAAGTCGCCCTGGCCTTGTTATTTATTGTTGGTACTTATTGGCTTATTAAATGAATTTTTTATTTAATAAGCCGATAAGACCTCAACAGATGGGAAACTCTGACATCTGATCGTTCAGCCTGGAGGCAGGCGGTACATCACGGCCTCTCCCAATTTGAAGAGACCCTTGCCCAGCAGGCCGAGGCAAAGAGGAAGTCACAAAGGAAGCAAAACCAGGGAGCTGGACAGGGGACAGATTGGATTTGTCTTCAGTGTGGAAGGGATTGTCCCTCTCGAATTGGCCTCCTCAGCCACACTAGACGCTGTTCCAAGTCCTCCATACAGAGCACGCTACCATAGTCTTTCGAGACTGAAGGATGCCTACTACCAACAATACAAGGCCAGGGCTAATAAATAACAAGGCCAACAATTTTTACTTATTAAATGAAATTTTTTGGCCCTTGCATGTTCTTTTCTTTTCCCAGAGTGGGAATTTTTAAGAATGGGGCACTTGTGCGTGCCCAGATCCTGGAAAACAATTCCCAGCATTCCTCATTGTTGGTTGTGTTGTCTAGGACGCATGGGAGTTGCAGTCCCAAAACACCTGGAAGGACGTCCTCCTGCCGACCTGCTTCTTACAACCTGTTTCATGGGTTTGATGAGATGCAAATGGAATGAATAGCCATATATATGGAGGAGAAACCTTTGACCAGATGAATCACAGAAAAGTGAAGTTGGAAGGGGCCTACAAGGCCACTGAGTCCAACCCACTGCTCAACGCAGGAATACCATCCAAGCCTATCTGCCAGTTTTTTCTTGAATGCCTCCAGTGTTGGAGCACTCGCCAACTCCTGAGGTCACTGGTTCCACCGTCGTACTACTCTAACAGTTAGAAAGTTTTTCCTGATATTCATCCGAAATCCTGTACCTTGGACCCATGTCCTGCACTCTGGGATGATCGAGAACAGATGTTGCCCCTCCTCTGTATGACAGCCTTTCAGATATTTGAAAAGGGCTATCCTATCACCCCATATGAAGTCTGATTTAGTTGTAGTGAAGAAGGCAGGAGATCAGGAACCCTGAAGTCATTCGTTTCCACTTACTAGCCCCTACAATGAAAAAATATATTTTAAGTGGGACTTGGGACTGGCAGCAGGGCAGGTGTACAGGTTGGCCAGTGTGTTAGGCAAAATCCAAACAAACAAAAACAGCAAAAATGTTGTGTCTTAAAAGCTAACTACTATATTTTAATGTGAGCTTTGGTGGACAAGTCCACTTCGTCAGACATAGGGAAACAAAATGAAATAATAGATGAAATGTCAATTTCACAAGTAGAATGTTCATTCATTCGACTTCTGTACCGCCCATCTGGTTGCAAGGCCCTTCTTTTTACAATACAATAAAACAATGGCACATTTTTAAAAATCTCGAAAAAATAATGGTTATACAAAAGTCAAAGTCAAAATCAAAATACAACATACAATCACAAGGAAAACAACATCAAAAGCAATAGCTCTAATTGAAGAGGTAGGATGGTGGAGCAGAAAGAAACACTCGGATTGCCACTGTGCTGTCATTCCAATATTCTAAGTATTCTTTGGCTGTAGTGGTTACACCTCATATGCAGCAATTTAGGGTCTAATGTTTGGTGTTTGGTCTAGCAGGTTTATTTCAAGGTGACCTCTTTGTGGCTCAGATCCACTTCCTCTGATTTTAGTCTACAGACCCTGGTAAAGTCAGCCTTTTTGCTAATTTTCTTTCATCCTCCTGCAAGCCAAGCCCAGGAAGGCTCTTTACCCTTGGCTCCGTAGGGGTTAAAAGCAACAGAAGGCGAGATTCCTAGAGAGAGAGAGGAAACCGGAAGAGGAAGAGCTGATCCCTTTCACCGGAAATGCTCCCCTACAAGTCCCTCCTTCCAATCTCAATGGGGGAGGGACTTCGAAGATTCCCTTTTTTTCCCCGGGACTACAGTACCCATCCTTTTTCAGGCAGTGGTTAGGCTTTCGCGAATTGTAGTCTTAAAAAGTAACCTTTGCCCAAGTTTTGTGAGGGGAGGGTATCCAGAGTGCCCAAGCTCTCTCTCTTTTTAAAAAAACTACAACTCCCAGAAACCCCAGCCAGCAGGGTCAGTGCCTGGGATGATGGGAGTTGGAGTCCGAAAGCAAATCCGTGGAGAAGATAAGAGATGTTGTGGTTTTGGGTTACAACCGCCGGTGGTCGTGCTGGCTGGGGATTCTGGGAGTTGTAGTAGAGGGATAAACAGAAGCTGTGGGCTGCTGGGTTTGCCCCTCCCTGGTCATCAGGACTGGGCTGGCGGCTTGGCCTGAAAGGAACGGAGTTACATTCCAGAAAGGGGGAACGATCTTCAGAGCGAAGGCATCTCATCTGGAAAGCCTTTTCCTCCTCTCCCTGTTGTTTCTGCTTCCTGATGAGATCTAGTAAGCACCCTTTGCAGACTTTTAACGTGAAAAGTTATTTATTGGTTTCTAAATGGTTGCTTAATATTGTAAAAGCTTGAGGGTTCCCCCCCTACCCCCAATTAAAACGCTCGTATGTATCTGTTTTACTTCACTGTCATGAGCTCTCTGGGGTCCTGCCTTGGTGGGATGTAAAGAAAATGAATCACTCAATTGACACAAAGTGTCACCTAGCAGCCAGCATAGCGAAAATTCATTTGGTGCATCAGGGAGTGTCTTTACATAAGCAGGTAAGAAGAGCCCTGCTGGATCAGGCCAAGGGCCCTTTGAGTCCAGCTCCCTGTATCTCACAATGGCTCCCACCAGAGGCCTCTGGGAGCACACGAGACAACTGGCTACCTCTCTCCTGATCCCCCTCCCCTGCATCTGGCATTTGGAGGTACCTTCCTTTTAAGGCTGGAGGTTATACATCCCCATCATGGCTTGTGGCCTGCGATGGAATTTTCCTCCAGAAATGTGTCCAATCCCCTTTTAAAGGCATCTCGGCCAGATGCCATCACCATATCCTGTGGCGAGGTGTTCCACAGACTAACAACCCGCTGGGTAAAGAAATATTGATTTTTATCTGTTCTCACTCTCCCAACACTCCATTGGAGTGGATGTCCCCCTGGTTCGGGTATTGTGTGAAAGGGAAAAGAGCTTCCCTCTATCCACTTGATCCACCCTCTCCATCATTTTCTCTCTTTCTGCAGAGTGAGGTCCCAATATTTGGGTAAGAGATATAAAAGAGAAAAAAAAATACAGATTCATTGATGATACTGCTGCACATCTCTTAAAATCTTTTCCCCATTTGTCAAATACCCTGTTTTCCCAAAAATAAGACCTAACCTGAAAATAAGCCCTAGTATGATTTTTCAGGATGCTTATAATATAAGCCCTACCCCAAAAATAAGCCCCAGTTAAGTGAAACCCCGCCCTCCACCCTTGTGCAGCATTGTGCAGCAACCAGAATAAGACATGACTGTAAAATAAAACAGCCCCTGAAAATAACCCCTAATGCCTTTTTTTGGAGCAAAAATTAATATAAGACCCTGTCTTATTTCTTGAGAAACACAGTAGTTTGCTGTTCCCAGAGCTTCCTCACGTCTTTTTGGACTACAGCCCAACATGTGTCATTTGCATGGGCAATAACATTTCAAGGCTTTTAAGACCATTTTTTTTGGGGTGGGGAGGGGGCATATCTCAACTGAAAGGACCTTCCCACGGCCCCATAAGAGAAAAAGAGAGACATAGACACAGAGGCTGGAAGCTAGATTAACAGAAGAGCTATCATTAAAACATGCCTCTTGCTACCCTGTAATGTTCTGTGAGAGAGATCTAGACCAGTAGTTCCTAACCTTGGGTCCCCAGATTTCCTTGGACTACAATGCCCAGAAATCCTGGCCAGCACAGCTAGTGGTGACGGCTTCTGGGAGTTGTAGTCTAGGAACAACTGGGGATTCAAAGTTGGGAACCACTAATCTAGAGTGTGGTTTCCCAATCTGTGTTGTGCTTCTCTTATTCCTTTTCTAATCATCTCCTTTTTCCATCCCTTGGGTTCTTGATCTTTTGGATGAGGAATCTGTTTGAGGTAGTTGGATGTCGAGGAGTTTTAGTCCAGAAACATTTGGTACCACTACTCTTGATTGATAGGTAAACTTTTCATGAAGATTGTGGAATGGCCCACGTTTGTTTCTAACTGTGCATCTCCCTAGAGTTTTTCCAGCCTGGAAGACCACTATTTCATCACAGAATGTCACAGTTGTTATACAGTTGTGCCCCGCTTTACGATTACCCCGTTTAAGGATGAATCCGCTCATGATGATGTTTTTGCGATCGCAATTGTGATCGCAAAACGATGGTTTGAATGGGGTTTTTCCGCTTTGCGCTGCTTGATTTCCTGCTTCGGGAACCGATTTCCGCTTTACGACGATCAAAAACAGCTGATTGTCAGGTTTCAAAATGGCCGCCGGGTGAAGAAAATGCCCCCCCGCTGTGCTTAGGGACAGATTCCTCACTAAACAGGCATGGAAAATGGCTGCCCCTATGGAGGATCTTCGCTGGACGGTGAGTTTTCAGCCCATTGGAATGTATTGAACGGGTTTCAATGCGTTTCAATGGGCTTTTTTATTTCGTTTTACGACGTTTTTGCTCTACAGCGATTTCGTTGGGGCGAATTAACGTTGTCAAGTGAGGCACCACTGTATCAGGAAAAGAAGTGGAATGACATGTCCCATCTCTGTCCAGCAGAGAGGAGCTTGATAAATCCCGTTTGGTTTCCCTCAGCGTCTTAATGGGTGACAGAATCAGCCTCCCCGTTGATATTTTTGAAGGTGGTTTCCCTCAACCAGAGCCGGATTTTATTCTCCTCCATTCTCCCTGTCAGGGAATGTGGGAGAATAAAAGTTCATTGGGTTTGTTCCTTGATTCAGAAATCTGTTTCTCCCGCTTATGGTTTCTCCTCTCTTTTGAACAGGAAAAATGTCAGAGAGAAGAAGCAAAAGAGGAAGACAGCAAGTGCCGGAGGAAACAGGTGATGGTACAGATGAGGAGAACGGTGTTGTGGATCGAGATGAAATGGAGAAGCTGGCAGGAGATCAAGTAGATGAGAAGATGGACGAACCCATGCCTTGTGGGGTGGAAGTCCATCAGAAAATACCCAAAGGAGAACAAGGCAATGAATGCCCCCGGTGAGGGAAAACCTTTGCCCGTAAATCAGCACTTGATGGCCATGTAAAGGTTCACAAAGGGGAGAAAGTGTTTACGTGCCTGGAGTATGGAAAGAGTGCCAGTCATTCTGCAAGTCTAGCTAGACATCACCACAGAGGCGAGAAGCCCTTCGAATGCCAGGAGTGTGGGAAAACGTTTAGCCTGAGAGGAGGGCTCACTGCCCATGAAAGAATCCACTCAGGGGAGAAGCCGTTCAAATGCCTGGAGTGTGGGAAGCGTTTCAGTCAACAGGGAAACCTCGTTACCCATCTCGGGACCCACACCGGCGAGAAGCCCTTTGAATGCCAGGAGTGTGGGAAAACGTTTCGACTGAGAGCACAACTTATAACCCACGAAAGAACCCACTCGGGGGAGAAGCCCTTTACATGCCTGGAGTGTGGAAAGAGTTTCAGCCGACGGGGAAGCTTTGCTAGACATCACCAGACCCACAGAGGCGAGAAGCCCTTCGAATGCCTGGAGTGTGGGAAAGCCTATACGCTGAGGGAAAGTCTTGCCACCCATGAAAGGATTCACTCGGGGGAGAAACCGTTTACGTGCCTGGAGTGTGGGAAAAGCTTCAGCCATTGCACAAGCTTCGCGAGGCATCACCGGACCCACAGAGGCGAGAAACCCTTCGAATGCTTGGAGTGTGGGAAAACTTTTAGACTGAGAGAAAGCCTTACTCCCCATGAAAGGACTCACTCTGGGGAGAAGCCATTTAAATGTCTGGAGTGTGGGAAAAACTTCAGCCATTGCACAAGCTTTACTAGACAAGACACCACACACACCGGCGAGAAGCCCTTTAAATGCCGGGAGTGTGGAAAAGCCTTTGGACAGAGAGGACATCTTGCAACCCACGAACGAATCCACTCTGGGGAGAAGCCGTTCAAATGCCCGGAGTGTGGGAAGGGTTTCAGTCAACGGGGAAACCTTGCTGCCCACCGGAGTACCCACACCGGCGAGAAGCCCTTTGAATGCCTGGAGTGTGGGAAAACTTGCCCTTTAAATGCCGGGAGTGTGGAAAAGCCTTTGGACAGAGAGGACATCTTGCAACCCACGAACGAATCCACTCTGGGGAGAAGCCGTTCAAATGCCCGGAGTGTGGGAAGGGTTTCAGTCAACGGGGAAACCTTGCTGCCCACCGGAGTACCCACACCGGCGAGAAGCCCTTTGAATGCCTGGAGTGTGGGAAAACTTTTAGAGTGAGAGAGAGTCTTATTACCCACGAAAGGGTTCACTCGGGTGAGAAGCCCTTTGAATGTCAGGAGTGTGGGAAGAGTTTCAGTCAGAGTACAACCCTTGCTAGACACCACAGGACCCACACCGGCGAGAAACCCTTCGAATGCCGGGAGTGTGGGAAAACCTTTAGACTGAAAGAAAACCTTACTATCCATGGAAGAATTCACTCAGGGGAGAAGCCGTTTGAATGCCTGGAGTGTGGGAAAAGCTTCAGTCAACGTGCAAACCTTGTTACACATCATAGGACCCACAGAGTCGAGAAGCCATTCGACCCCCCAGATTGTGGGGAAAACCTTTGACTAGAGAGCACCTCTGAACAATCCATGAAAGAATTCACTTTGGGGGAAGAAGCCATTTTAATGTCTGGAGTGCGGAAAGGCCTTTCAATCGAAAATATTCATCGCTGCTCATCAAAGAATCCACAGAGGGGAGAAACTATGCAAACGTACGGCACATGGAAAGAGCATTAATCAAATATGAGACACTTGCTTGGAGGCGCTCTGTAGGCTTCAGAGGAAACTGTTTAAACGTTCGCAACGTGGGGAGAAATTAAAGAGCTGCACGACCTTGACCTTGTGCCAAAGAATTCACTTATAGTGCCACTTTCTAGCGTTTTCCAAGTACGGAATAACCAGAAGTGGTTTCCTTTCCCCTTCTTCTGAGGACTGTGCAGCTTGCCCAAGGCTTCACAGGCTGGCTCTACTCGGCAGCAGGCACAGGGGGTGGGGGTGGAATCGAACTCCCAACCTTTGGCTCTGCAGCCAAAGGCCTAAATCCCTTAGCTAATCACCTCCTATGAAAGGACTCACACAGGGGAGATGCCCTGTACATGTCTGGAGTGTGGAAATGGCTTTGTTTTGGGCGGAGATCTAAGGTCACCCACACAGTGGAGAAACTTTTCAAGTGTCTGGAGTGCGGAAGGCGCTTCAGTCAAAAGTCAGCACTTATTCTCCATCAAACAATCCACACAAGAGAGAAAAGGCAGGTGTCTCAACTCAAGATATACCAGGGAAATCATTTTATGGAGCTTAGAATACACCAAAATGTCCATATAGGAGAAGAAACCCTCTAAGTGCCAGGAGTGTGGAAAGAGCTGTTAAGGAGGGAAGGAGGGAGGCTTACGAGGCATTGCAGAATCCACACAGGGTGGAAGACTTTCTAAATGTCTGGAGCCCAGGAAGCACTTCTGTCAAAGGTGCGATCCTCTTTCCCATCAAAAAAAGACACGGACAAGAAAAATGCTTTAAATGCATGCAGTGTGGGGAAAATCTTCCATTCAGGTGATATACTTAGTAAAGTCACAGAATCTACACCAATTTTAATAAATCATTTATTTCACACCACAAGTTTCAAAGTTTAGTAGGACTCCCTTATCTGCAGGATCAGTATCCGCTGATTCACCTATACACAGTCTGAAAATATTAAAAAATGCAGTAATCAGAAAAATCTCCAATTACTGTTTCTTTTTTTACAATGGAGTTACCAGAGTTGCCGCTAGAGGGCACCAGAGACCATAGTATGTATAGCTATTATAATAGCATAGTGGTGCCTTGCTTAACAACGATAATCCGTTCCAGGAAAATTGTTGTTAAGCGAAAACATCGTAAAGCGAAATTAAAAATCCCATTGCAACGCATTGAAACCCGTTCAGTGCGTTCCAGTGGGGTAAAAACTCACCGTCCAGCGAAGATCCTCCATACAGCGGCCGTTTTCGCTGCCTGTATAGCGAGGAATCTGTCCCTAAGCACAGCAGGGAGCCATTTTAAGCACCTGGTGGCCATTTTGAAAACCTGACGATCAGCTGTTTTTGATCGTCATAAAGCGAAAATCGGTTCCCGAAGCAGAGAACCAATCATCGCTAAGCATAATTCCCCCATTTAGACCATCGTTTTGCGATCGCAATTGTGATCGCAAAAATATCATTGTAAAGTGGATTCATCGTAATGCGGGGCAATCGTTAAGCGAGGCACCACTGTAATCCATGTTTTTTCAGTATCCATGGTGGGGCTTGGAACCAATCTCCCGTTGATACCGGGCTCCTACTGTACTTAATTTTAGGGGAGTTTTCTGCACCCCCACAATTTTTCAAATACTCTTAAACAGAGAAAGTATCAAACCTTAACAAGTGTGTGCCTCTGTGTGTCAGCATGTGTGTGAAAAAAAATCACCATATGTGCATATATATGAATGCCTACTTTTACCCTCGGCTCAGCCCATGTTTGGTTGCTGTTCCTTCCCTGCCACGAGCCACCCCTGGATGCGACCTAGGTTAAGAAGACAGCTGTCTTCCTGAAGCCGGGCCATTTTGCCCTACAGCAATACTTACGTTGTCGTACCACTTGTGAAGTTTTATTCATTTGAAATACAAAGTGTATTTATAATATTTGCATAGTGGAATCATAGTGCCCATGACAACATCCAATTATATTGTTTATATCCAGTTTGATTATAAACATATCATTATCATCAACAAATACCAGTAATAAAGCCACATGGCTGTGAGGAGGACTGTTTCTGTATCGGATTAATGCATATCGGGTCATATTTTTTGGGAACAATTGTTTTGCGCTCTGTTTATGACAACCCTTTCTAGATATAGGGGATACATAGAAATGGTTTTCCATTCCCTTCTGGAAGCTTCCTGGGACGGTGGCTTGCCCAAGGCCACCCAGGCTGGTTCTTCTCCCAGAAGGTAGAGGAGGGAATTGTATTTCAAACCTCTGGCTCCGCAGCCAGAGACCACAGAGCAATCCAGCCAACCAACAAGTCTTGGATAACCCTAAAATGCCATTAATAAGGGGGGACAATTACATGATAAAAGTCCTGAGGGTTTTTTTTGTGATATTTCCCAGAATTTCCAAAGCTTTTGGCAGATTTTGGAAGCCGTAGCTCAAAAATGTACACTTTCTGAGGATCTGGTCCGTACGCCCTCTTAACGTAGGTGGAGGATTTCTATGACATGTCGTATTTTTTCCTGCACCCTATGTTTGAATTTATAGGTGGGTTTGGACATGTTTATGAGTAATCTGGTGAGATAGGCCCGTTTATTCATAAACATGTTTTAACCTGCTTGAAGGTTCAGGAATAGGTTGCAGAGAAAGTATGAAATGTCATAGAAATCCTCCTCCTGGTGATAACATTTCTGTTGCTTCCTCTTTTCTTTCCCAGATGCAACGTCTGATGGACATCACCCAAGTTCTCCAGAAGAAGATGGCTCCATGCCTGGAACACTTAAATTTTGGCTCCCTTTTCACTGCAATTGTCTGGTGGCAAACAAGTTCACAGCTAGCTTTTTTCTACTTAAGAGGATTTCTCTCCTATATGAATTAGCAAAGGGTCTGGTCAGCCAAGACTTGAAGCAAAAGATGTTTCTGAATGGATTCCATGTACACGTCTCATCTCCTTCAACAATACTGGGATGAGTCACACTGGACCTCCATGTAGTTCAAAATCTGTGCATACGACATTAAAGGTAAAGGTTCCCCTTGACATTTTCAGTCCAGTCGTGTCCGACTTTAGGGGGCGGCGCTCATCCTGCTTTTCAAGCCGTAGAGCCAGCGCCTGTCCGAAGACAGTTTTCCGTGGTCACGTGGCCAGTGTGACTAGGGAACGCCATTTTCCCACCGAGATGGCACCTATTTATCTACTCGCATTTACATGCTTTCGAACTGCTAGGATGGCAAGGAGCTGGGACAAAGCGATGGGAGCTTACTCTGTTGCGTGGATTCGATCTTACGACTCCTTGGTCTTCTGACCCTGCAGCACAGGCTCCTGCGGTTTAGCCCACAGCACCACCATGCCACCCCAAAAAAGTAATCACAAAGCATAAACAATTGACTCTCTCTGTCTCTCTTTCTCTCTGTCTCTTTCTCACACAGACCACGTTGACACCTTTTGTGTTCGATTCATGGGGTTCTGAGTGGCCAGAAGCACAATATTTGTTGAATATATATTTTTTTATTGGAATAATTATTTGTTGGGGAAAAAAATCCATGTATAAATCAAACTGTGCTGTTTAAACTAACGCAGTTCAAGGGGAAAGTGTAATGCTTTATATAACACCTTAGAATTGCTGAGCTGGAAGGGACCCTATGAATCGTGAGGAACTGAACTCGATGACCCAAAGGGTCACTTCAAGCTCAGCGGTTCTAAGATGATGATGATGTGACCAGAAGAGCTGCAACAGAATCTTGTAGCACCTTTTAACAAATTCCCTTTTGCCTAAGCTTTCGTGTGCTGCAGCCTGCTTCTCCAATACACTGAGTATTGTTTCAGCAAATGAGGTGTCTTGTCTCATGAGATGACATGCCGTACATCTGAAGAAGCAGACAGCAGTCCACAAACCCTCGGGCGAATAAAAATTTGGCCAGATTCTGACTGGAATCGTGGAGCGCAAACGAACATTCATGCAAGCAGGGTGCATAATCTTCCGGCTGTCCATCATGTGCTCAGACATGGCTGATAGCCCACAAAATATCAAAATGACTGCTTTTCTAAACACATCATTGTTTCGCCACAGAATTTCTGGCCTCGGTTTCTCTACCACTGTGGCCAAATAAGGCGTCTTAGACTATACACTTCCCCACTGGCTAGCTAGGGGATGCTGGGATTTGTAATCCAACACCGAGACTACTATTTTAAGATGTTAAGAGCTCCATGAAAGAATACCAGGGTGACAATGGTGGGTGTGGGGGCGAGGGAGAGCTATAACAATGGCTCGGAAGGTTCTAGAACAGCGGCCCAGAGGTGCCAGTTGAAAGGCACGTTCTCTGCAGGCAGCAAAGAAACTCCTCTCTCTCCCTTCCCCCCCCCACCCGTGCCAAAATGACGTACCCCAACCGAGGGGTGACAAAAGCAGCCATGAGGCATTACCTGACGGAAAGCGCTCGGACAGCGCTGGACGCTTTGGAGCCGGAAGAGGACGTGGTGGATGTAGGTCCCGGAGGGGAAACTGAGGCAGAATGGCTTTCCAGGGCTGTGGGGAGGAAAAGAGGGGAAAGCTGGGGGGGGGAGAGAGCTACTGTTAGGCACTGTGAAACTGTGGCCTTGGGTGTCAAATGCTGGAGGGTGGGTGCAGCAAGGTGTTTGAGAGACCGCTGTCTAAAAGCCTCCCTGCATCCTCTTATGCGTTTTGTTATGTGCCTGTGGTTCCTTTAGGGAGCCAGTCCATCTTGTATTTGGTCTTCCTCTTTTCCTGCTGGCTTCAACTTTTCCCAGCATGATTGTCTTTTCCTGCTCCTGAGGTGCCCAAAGCAGAACAGCCTCAGCTTCGGCGTTTTTGCCTCCAGAGATAGTTCAGTCTTGATTTGTACTAGGACCCACTTGTTCATCTTCACAGCAAAGATCTCCTCCTTATTAGCTAGCTTTATATTTTTAAAAAGTGGAGGAAAGAATCTGGAGGCCAAATCACCCACTTTTAACTGGGTACTCTCAAAGGAAGAGAACAGGGAGGAATCAGAAACCAGTTTGCCCCAGACTGGGAGAGGAAGACCCTGGGAAGTATCAGAGGGGCAGTTGGGGAGGGCGCAAACCAAGAGGCGACCCCCCCGATAGATGTCGAAAGAGGGAAGCTCCACTGATGGGCAATATTTCTGGGCCAAGGGAATTGTGCCTTTTGCCCCAAGCTCCTGGGAAGAACCCTGAACTTGCCACGAATGTTTCCCAGAACCAAAAAAACATAGTGTGCTGTGGCAGTAAACGTAAGAGGATTTATTTCGGGGTCCCACCATCCTTCTGGTTTTGATCTATGGGCCCAAACTGACCAACATGGTGATTCCTTTGGGGGAAAAAAGGTAGGAAAAAAGTATTAACACAGAAGGCAGGGGTGGGTGGGGCGAAGGCAAAAGGTTGAGGAACAGACTGGATTAAACTGGTTTGTGCCTCCAAGTCCATTTTGACTTATGGCGACCCTTTTCAGGGTTTTCCAGGTAGAGAATACTTGGGGGGTGGTTTGTTTTCCCTTTATTTTTCTGGGGGCATCCAGGGGCCTTGCAGCTTGACTAAAGCCACACAGGCTGGCTCTCCTCGCAGGAGGCCCAGTGAGGGGAATTGAACTCCCAACCTCTGGCTCCGCAGCCAGGGAACTAAACCGCTCCGCTATCCAGCCAGCTAGTAGAAATCTGGTGGAGATCTTGAAAGCGTTCCTTGAGGAAATGAACAGGAATTGCTCACGGTCCTCTGTGCAAGCTGCCAGGCAATCTGATCCCATCCAATCCCATCCCATCCACCCGTCCGTCCGTCCATCCATCCATCCATCCGCAAGCTGCCATGCAATCCGATCCCATCCATCCATCCATCCATCCATCCATCCATCCATCCATCCATCCATCCATCCATCCATCCATCCATCCCTCCCTCCCTCCATTCATCCATCCATCAAGCCAGCCTCTCCTCCTCCTCCTTCTCTATTTGGGGGTGTTTCCTGTCTTCCAGATGGGCCCAGGGAAACAGATGCCGGTTGTGGGACCCAACCAGATCCTTGACATGCCGCTTTTCGCCAAGATCCCTTTCCTGCCTGGCTCCAACACCATGTTCTACACAACCAATTTGGGGGAAAAGGTAGAGTCTCTGTTTTGTGGGTCTGAGCATACTTTGTGGTGCGTTCAGGACGGAAGCTGGAGGTGTGCAATCCCATCCCACGCCTTGATTGGTGGGTTTTTGGTACGGCAATAGCATTAAAATATCCATATTGTAGCTGTCTAGAAAGTGGGCCTGTCGTGCGGGTTGCTCCAGACGGAGACGCGAGTTCAGATGGAAGTGACTGGAATCCTGGTGGTATTTCTCCAGGGCTTCCTTCCCATGATTTGGATTTTATTTTATTAATGTCACTCAAAGAGAGGGGTAAATTTTGGATTCAACAATTAAGTAACTAGGCCTAGGTCCGCCATGAATATCCTTATTTGCACATGGTGGAGCCATGGCAAGTCCCCATGGCGGTTCTGTTGATTCTGGAGGTAGATTATATTGTCAAAGATGAAATACTGTAGATGCAGGAAGTCCCAGAGGAAGGTGACGATGTGGCATTCATCCTTATCTGGAACGGTGATCCTGACCGCCTGTAGTCTGTCTCCATGTGGGAGGTTAGCCTAGGGAGCTTCTATGTCCATCATGACTCAGGTGATTTTCTTGGAGAGGTTGCATGTGTATTAAGAACGTAAGAGAACGTAAGCACATAAGAAGAGCCCTGCTGGATCAGGCCAAGGGCCCATCTAGTCCAGCTTCCTGTATCTCACAGGGGCCCTAGCAGTTGCCTCTGGGAGCACTGGAGACAACTGGATACTGTACAGTGGTGCCTCGCTAGACAGTTACCCCACATGACTGTTTTTTCGCTAGACATTGACTTTTTGCAATCGCTATAGTGATTCGCTAAACAGTGATTCCTATGGGGGAATTTTGCTGGACAATGCTTGGTCCCTGCTTCGCAAACCAATTTTTGCTAGACAACGATTTTGACAGCTCCCTCCGCGCTCGCAAAATGGGTGTTTTCGGGACCTAAGCTTTGCAAGACAGCGATTTAAATCCTGGAGATTATACATCCCCCATCGTGGCTTGTAATCGGTGATGGACATTTCCTCCAAGAATCTGTCCAGTCCCCTTTTAAAGGCATCTCGGCCAGATGCCGTCACCACATCCTGTGGCAAGGGGTTCCACAGACTAACAACTGGCTGGGTCAAGAAATCTTTTCTTTGGTCTGTTCTCACCCTCCCAACACTCCATTGCGGTGACTGTCCCCCCGGTCCGGGTATTGCGTGAGAGGGGAAATTGCTTGAAGGTTCTAGGAAAGTTTCTGCTGGTATCTCTTACGTAGCTAGGCGTATTGGTGTCATAAGGTTTGAGGAGGATCGAAACCATGGAGGCCAAAAGGTGGGTGTTGCGCACTCCATGTAAACCCATTGATCACAACAACCCCCGGATGTAGCTTTTAGTAAGAAAAGGAGCTGGTGGAGACGGGACTTGAGAAGCAGACTTGGGGAGAGATGCTTGATTGGGGTCTCCCTCCTTTATTAAAAGGCTCTCCCTTTCTTATGAAAATTCTGAGCCCAGTGTGTGAGAATGGGGCTTGATGTCATTTGCATGTTAGATCTCTTCTGAGTAAATCAAACATACCAAGGAGGCCTCACAGAAACCCATCCACAGGCCTCCAGTGGCGTTTCTCCAGGCAAGGAGTCCTGGCGGCCCAGTAGCTTCACTCGCACGATTCGCTCCATGTGTTTCAGCTCTACCAGCCGTCGGCCACTTTTGACCTGAGCGACCCCTACTGCAAAGTCATGGCCCCCAGATACAAGAGCCTCCACGACCCACACTTGCGGGCCTATTACAAGCGCAAGGACAACCTGCGGAGGCTGAAGAAGGCCGGGCAGATCACCGACAAAAACAAAGTATGTTAATTAGGCTGTTTTGTTGTTCCAACATTGCCATTTCCAAAAGCAAAAGAAAATACAGCAAGACCCCCTTATCCATGGGATCAGTATCCAATCTGAGAATATAAAAGAAAAAAAGAACAAGCCACTAGAGGGAGCCAGAGACTGTGCTATGAATAGTCTATGGCACCCTCTAGTGGCCAGGTCTGATAATGCATGCAAAAACATTTTTTTCTGTTTTCTCCCCTTTTATTATGCTTTATATAGAGCAGGTGACCCCAACCTTTTTCACCCCGCGGATCAGTTGGGGAAGGCACGGCACTCCCCCACCGTGCTTGTGCGCATGCGCAAATGGTGGCATGGTGCTCACACAGGCACACACACACTCAGACACATGCACAAACAGCGGTGTGGCACTTGCATGGGCATGTTGGAGTGCACGCGCACGCACAAATCAGCTGTGCAGGGGTGAGTGCATGTCGGGGGGCGGGACGTCTGGGCTCTGTGGCCCAGTCTGGATCAGGCTACGGACTGGTGGTTGGGGACCTCTGATATAGAGCATTTGCTATTATCCACGGTTTTCAGTATCTGCAGGAGGCGAGGACTTGGAACCAATCCCTAGCAGATATGGGGGTCCTGCTGTAATACCACATTTCCAAAATGTTACCAGCACAGGGCTAGCAAAACTCATGCTTGGGGTCACAGAAATCATTTTCTTTTCTGAGGTCCCGAGGTCATTGGTTCCACTGTTATACTGCTCTAACAGTTAGGAAGTTTTTCCTGATATTCAACTAAAATCTGTCTTCCTTTAACTTGAGCCCATTGTTGCGTGTCCTGCACTCTGGGATGATCGAGAACAGATCTTGTCTGTCCACTATATGCCTTTCAAATATTTTTAAAGTACTATCATATCACCCCTCAGCCTTCTTTCCTCAAGGTTAAACATGCCCAATTCTTTCAGCCTTTCCTCATAAGGCTTGGGGCAGAAGTTTGACAGGAGGAAGGGCTTTTCTCAAGACTGTTTCTGGCTGCTTCCCAGATTTAAATCCATCAGCAGTTTTTTATTGTCCTGCAGGAGCGAGTTTTATTGCCGCAGTAGAAGCAAAGTTGTTTTTTTCTCCCTCCTTCCTCCACCTCCTCCTTTCTTTCTGTTTCTCTCAGCCAAGCCTCAGATGAAAGGGGTGGTAGTGGGAGGAAGTGCTCGCCAGTCTGGCCAGATATATGTCTAGTCACTTTCTCTGACAGATTACACCCAGTCTCTTCATTGTTTAGGCCCTTAGCCATTCCATATGTAAAATGAGCCATTTCCTTCAAGTTTGGTCAAGATTATGTTTCCAAAATCCTTTTGTACTTTTCCGCTCTCTGTCTTGGGGCATTCATAGCTCTGTGCCAAAGATGG